TAGAAAGGTGTAACAGAGCAGACATCTCATTAGGTTTCTAAGTCCAACAAAATATGTCATGAAGTTGAAGAAGTGAGAGTGTTTTGTCTCCATCTACAATACCTCATCAGAAACACGTCCCCTGCCTACAGCATGTTGGAGTTTGTAAAGTAAGACACTGCACGTAAGGACCACTGGTAGAAAACTGAAGAAAAATGACAAATCCACTAATAAGGCACTAGACAGTGACACCTTTTTGTCTTCTTATTGTGGGAAAGAAAACTGTATTTTTTTATCCCCCTCTGCTAGACTTTTAAGCAATAATAAAAGCTCAGAATGTAAATGTTTCAAAATAAGTTTAAAAACAAGTGTATGAGTTCTGGAAGGCACACGATCCTTCCAATCAGCCAGAATATTGCATGATTTATTTTTTTTTTTTAAATAAGAAAAAAAGTATTTCTGCTTTGCAAAACAAAAATGCTTAGCAAAGACTGTATAGCCAGAGATATTATCAGGTGTTCTAGGAAAACAGAGTTCAAATAAGAGAAGTATTTATATTTGGATGTAAAAACCTCTCTATATAAATGTCTTTATAGCATAGGTTACAATTCCAAAATGTCACAAATAAAGTGTATCCTAGAGTCCCATTCATTTAGCTACATAATTTATTGTGAATGTAGATAAAGCACCTACACCAAGATGGTTATTCCCTATCACAGTTACTTTGTTAGCAAAATTTGAACAAGGGCAACACGCCTGTTAACCCGATGCTCTTCCACCAGCATTTGAAGGCCATCTGTACTGGATACAATCTGAAAGAACTTGTTCTTAGTATATGCACGCATTCGTGACTCACACTAGAAGCAGCTCTGGAAAGCTAGTACACTTAAACATAAAAGAAAGCTTTAGTCCATTTTTTATCCTTGTTTAAGGCTTTAGAAATGTGATCAAAAATCCTGGTTAATTTGGGCCAGTTCTGAATCCAGTTCCAAATTCAGCTGTTCTTGCTGCACTGCCTCTTCCCTTTTGCTTACAAGTGAGACAGGATGGCTTCCAGCAGCTGCACCACCTCTGAGGCACTGCTGAAGCCACAGTGTTCATGCTTCGTATTTAAGCCACTGTATCACTCTTCATAGCAACCACCCCAGATCTGCTGCTTAGAGTATCTTTTTCTTACTCTACTCTTTGCTACTTATGAAGTAAACATCTTGTTTGAATTATTGAAGATATCAACCACAGAGCAATTAATATTTTTTTTAATTCCTTTCACTTTTACAGTGGTAAGAATCAGCCCACTTCTGTACTGACAGTCACTTCAGCTCTCTTGTCTGTACAGTGAGCCCGCTTAAAGGCTGAAATAGTTTGCGGCATGACCTGAAGGGTTCTCATAGGTTTGGGTAGGAAATCCTTCATAGTCTGCAAGCGTTCAAAGACTCTCTGATGTGGATTATCACTGTCACATCTACATAGAAAGCATGAAAGATGTCCTATTTGTAGAATATGCAGGTTTCAGCTCTGTATTTTTATTTAATTTTTAATTCAAGTTGGTGGTTAGTTGTCTTTTATGCAATTCTCAACAGCCTTATTAGTTACCACTTTAAAATGCCAAGATGCTCTGGCAGCCCTAGAACAGCAGAAGGGA